GTGATGCCGGCACGAGAGACGACAGGAAGGAGCCGAAGAAGCTCGAGCCCAGGGACAGGGCGAAGCCGACAAAGGCGATGCCCGCGCCGATGGGGTGCAGGATCATGACGTTGGTCAGCGCCTTCGAGGTGCTCTCGGTCCAGTCAGAAAAGTCGGTGCCGTCGACCTCCCTCAGGATCGAGGTCGGCGAGTAGCCGATGCTGGTGCGGGAGCAGCCGCTGATGAAACTCGTCAGTTGATGTCCACTCTGCCGTGCGCAGAGGTTACAAGACTTACCGGCCGCGAACGTCATGGACGCAGTATCCAAATGTGCCGAACGATATGTCACCCGAGTCACTGCCCAGGTTGACTGAGAAGAGTGAGAGGGAGTTGACGGTGGGTGCCGTGATGGACGACACGATGAGGAGCACCATTGCCAAAAACAGCAAAAAGGTGCCGAAGTGGTTCACCAGCGCGAGGACACCCATTTTGACCGAGGTACCAAAGTGTCAAGGTTGGATAGAGATAGGAAGTGAGGAAAGTTGTCTGGATGGAGTTGACGTGTATAGAGGGTGTCAAGGATAGTTGAGACCACTCGTCACCGGTAACCTGGTTGAAGTTGTGTATCGGCAAGATCTCAAAGCTGTCCGAACGGAGCGAGGCACAGTCATATAAAGACTCACGAGAGTCAAGCCTCTTGATCCAGGAACGCGTATCAGGGTCGTGCATGCTGCCGTCGCATCCAGGGTTCATCACGTCAGGGTCGTCAGACGCAGCCAACATGATGAGGGTTGACCGGGGGAACAAACAAGGAACATGCTGAGCCTGGTGATCGGCACTCACAGGAGGGTCGAAGGAACCAATGTGGCACGGCTATCAATTCCGCGTGTACGTCACAAGGTGGTGTCGACCGCCAGTGGGCAAGCCACAACTCTGACGATGCGCCGCCCTTCACCCCGGACACAGAGACCCTCAGAACCCTGGAAGGTGGGTTCGATCTGGATTTGTTTGGGGAGCTGACCGTTCCTCGTTTGTTCGTTCGTCCGTTGGTTAGGCTTTGGCGTTGAGGAGGAACAGGGGGGGTGGGCCGCCTGATGACGTCGAGATACCCGTTTAGGCTGGACCCTGGAATAGCGCCAAGGTAGCTCCCGATATTCATTGGCTTGCCTCCTTGGGGATGAGGTAGCCCGGTTTCCTGACAATAAGCTTGTGTTTTCCTTCACAGCAATCAATCCGGTTCAAATGGCAAGCTAGCACCACCTGGCCTGCTTCTCTACGCCCAAAAAAAACCGAAAGGAAAACCCCCCATGCTGCACCAATGAGAACGAGCGTGAGAGCAGGGAGAGCGGTGAATTCCATTGCGCGACGATCCTGTCTTCGCCCACCATGTGATGATCACACCTGGTTTCTGTTCTGCATTTTCCACTGTAAATCCTTAAGCTTTCTCGTATGGTCGAATGGGCTGCCTCTTGCCATGAAAGCAGCAATATAGAATAGTCTCCAGCACAAGCCCCAGCGCTGCACAGCGCAGCCGTAGCTCCAAGGGGCCCCAGACCTCTGGTACACCAACAGCCTAGCGAAACTTTACGCTGAGCCCTGAGCCTGACTCATTCGGGTGAGGCGCAATTTACCGACGTCGCGGCGCCTCATTGCGCGTCTCTAGGGGTGTTCTGCCTTGGTTCTGGACCACGCGATGGAAAGTTTGCATGTTCCACCCGACCATTAAACGTGTGCCGTGTGGCTCGGTGCATCGTCCAGGCTTCACAGGTTCGATCTCGTCTCGGCCGTCCTACAGAAGCATCGGGGGCATCGATGCTAGTGACCAACATTTGCCGGGGCGTGCCGAGCGCTACGGCAAAATGGTTGTTCGAGACAAGTCAAAGGGGCCCAACGTTGTGGCTCACGGCGCACGTTGAAGGCATTCCAACCTTGTTTTGGGTAATTTCACAACAGCGGTACCGGCCGTTCTGATGCTGGCCGATCAGCCGCCCCCGGGCCGATACTAGGGAATCTCTGCTCGCTGCCGTCTCAGGTCGTTGCCGGCGTCGTTGTGCTCTTCTGCCCACCGGTGACGTCTCCAGTCTCCTGACCTTGCTGCTCAACCAGATGCAACAGTCCCTCCGTGACGGCTGGCATGTCGCGCTTCTGTTTCTGACGGAACAATCTTTCGGCCCTCGCGCGCTTGTGCGGATCGACAGACTTGCCGCCGAACAGCAGATCCTCAACGAGGCGGCTTTTGTCCAGATCAGGGTCCTGCCCACCCGATTCCCAGTCCGACAGGCCGTCCGCAGACACGTCGGCAGGAAGCGACCGTTTGAGCAGCGACGACATGATGGTCTCTCGTCGCCCGTCAGCCCAGGGGCCGTGCAGAGGTGAGGCGCGGACGGCTGCCGAGTGAATATAGTCTGGTGCCGGGAAGATGTGGAGCTTAAAGTCCTTCTGTATATCCTGGCCTTCGACGCGAATGTTCGATGCCGTATCTAGTTGACTGTCGGCGGCGCTGTTGAGGATCGGTTCGGTTGATGGGTTCGTCGTCAGGAAAGTGCGGATCGAGCCTTTGGAGTCGCCTGTCGCGAGCTGGTACTCCAAGGGGCTACGGCGGATGAGTTCGCTGGCCGACTCGTTGTCGCTGGCGACGGAAATGAAAGAGGCATCATGGTCCTGCAGGCATGTGTGTTAGCACCAGCAAATGCAAAGCTGAGAGCGATATGGTTGATGGACGTACATCGAGTTTTCGAAAGACCTCGATCTTGGCGAACTTTTGCAGCGCGTGCAGCACAGCGCGTCGCTCGGGAAACTTGACAGGCGCTGGCACCACCGTGACCTGGATGGTCCGGGACGCTAACTTCTTGGACAAGTCTCGAATGACATTGGCACCTCGCGACATTGCGGGATTGGCGAAGAGCGCTGCGAATTCAGATAAGCTTACCCGGCCTTAAGCGTTCTTGCTGTCAAGAGGTCGAGCGAGCTTCTTTCTTCTCCTTTCGTTAGAGCCCAGATGGACTGTGCCGAATACTCGCTTAGACACACGCGACACGGTGTGGATGACGGCGTTCTGATGCCCCGCCATTTCCAGGGCCCCTCGACGATGATCGCGATGCAAGCCGGATCCTGCTTCTAGAACATACCTTCTTCTCTCGGATCCAGCACTTCTCTTCAGAGCCTCAAAAAACGGCGTTGTTCTGCAAGTAGACCACCGCAACCATCGAAACGCCCTCCGAGAACCTCTGCATAACGCACTACCCACCTCAAAATGGCCGCCATTCTCGACGCCGACGCCATGGAGCCCAGCCTCCAGTCGCTTCTCGACCAGCGCTCGCTGCGTTGGGTCTTTGTCGGAGGCAAGGGCGGTGTCGGCAAAACGACCACGTCGTGCTCCCTCGCTATTCAGCTCGCCAAAGCCCGCAAGTCCGTCCTCCTCATCTCTACCGATCCCGCGCACAACTTGTCCGACGCCTTCAACCAGAAGTTCGGCAAGGAGGCGCGCCTCATCGAGGGCTTCGACAACCTCTCCGCCATGGAGATCGACCCCAACGGCAGCATGCAGGATCTTCTCGCCGGGCAAGATGCCCAGGAAATGGACGCTATGGGCGGTGGAATCGGCAGCATGATGCAGGACCTCGCATTCGCCGTGAGTGACCTCGCCTCCCCCCTCCCCCCTCCTTCTCTCTATGCAGGACGCTTCGAGGCAGGACAAAATCCACTGACACGAGAGCTCTCCGCAGATCCCCGGTATCGATGAAGCCATGTCCTTCGCCGAAATTCTGAAACAGGTCAAGTCCATGTCCTACGAAACCATCATCTTCGACACGGCGCCGACGGGCCACACCCTCCGCTTCCTGCAGTTCCCCTCCGTCCTCGAGAAGGCCCTCGCCAAGGTCTCCCAGCTCTCGACCCAGTATGGGCCCCTTCTCAACGGCTTCCTCGGCCAAGGCGGTCAGCTGCCCAACGGCCAGAACCTCAACGACATGATGGCCAAGCTCGAGACGCTGCGCGAGACCATCTCCGAGGTCAATGCCCAGTTCAAGGACGAGAACCTCACTACCTTTGTCTGCGTCTGCATCGCCGAGTTCCTCTCGCTCTACGAGACGGAGCGCATGATTCAGGAGCTTTCCAGCTACGGGATCGACACCCACTGCATCGTCGTCAACCAGCTGCTGTTCCCCAAGAAGGGCTCCGACTGCGACCAGTGCAACGCGCGGCGCAAGATGCAGAAGAAGTACCTCGAGCAGATTGAGGAGCTGTACGACGAGTTCAACGTCGTCCGTGTTCCCCTGCTCGTCGAGGAGGTGCGCGGCAAGGAGAAGCTGGAGAAGTTTAGCCAGATGCTGGTCACGCCGTACCAGCCGCCTGAGATGGATTAAGGCAGCAGTGAATCTCGGTATGATACATTCGTGGCAACAGGAGTCTGGTAGCATGGTGGACGGGACATGAGGCACGTAGCAGCGCATACAATACAGTCACGAATCTACGATACCCAGTAGAGGAAAAGAAAGTTTGTTTTTGAAGAAATTCTTATTCAACGGAGTTCTGCCTATCATGTGGAAAGCTAGAATCCTTCGCTGCATCTCTTGACGAGGATACCTGCCCTCGACACGAAAAGGCGGATCTCTTTATCTCCCATCGTGCCTTGACAGCTAATGGCAAATATCTGCCACAGTCATTGAGTATAACCTCCCAAACCAATGCAAACCCATGGCCTACATGCCAGTTCCTTGCCCCTCCCTAAACGCCAGAATACACAGACTATGTCCAAAACGAGATACGAGGGCAAGACTGTGCCCTTCGTGAGACTGCTGGGAGACCCTCCCATGCAACGTGGGTGCGTGGGAAATAATGTTACAAGTCGAATGGCCTTGCCGAATGGCCCATCAAGCGCCGCCAGACACACAGGCAGGTTGATTATAGCTCCCGGTAGTCGCTGGGACGAACGCGCTTCTGACGGTTCTGGTGACGGTGGGGGTTGACAGGTCGACGGAAGTACGCCTCCTCGTCGTTGCTGGGCTGAGTGAAGTTGTGCCTCTGTTGATTGTTGAAGTTGTTCATTGCACCAGTCGGCACGCCGTTCATTCCATTCATCCCCATGCCGTTCATGCCACTCATCCCCATGCCGTTCATGCCATTCATTCCCATGCCGTTCATACCGTTCATGCCCGCACCCATGTTGAAGTTGCCATTGAACATGCCGCCCATGTCAAAGCCACCGTTCATGCCGTTGAATCCAGGCATGTTCATCATGGGGTTCATGCCGTTCATCATAGGCATTCCCATGTTCATGTTGCCCATGTTCATATTGGGCATTCCCATGGGATTGAAACCACCCATGTTCATTCCACCAAAGCCCATCATTGGGTTCATGGGCATGCCATACATGTTGTTCATGGCTTGCTGCTGCTGCTGCTGCTGCTGCTGCTGCTCTTGTTGTCTCTGCATGGCCTTGGGGCCCTTGGGAATCTTGGGGTTCTCCAAGAGGTCATCGGCAGGCCGTTTCTTGGAGTTCGTGTCCGTGGCCGGCCCACTCTCAGCACCGGCCACGACTGGAGTTGCTGTTGATGATTTGGGTGTATCGGCTGCGGGAGTGGCTTTGGCAGGCGAATCAGGGGCTTTGGGAGACTGTGCCGGCTCCTTCCTGGACTCACCACCGACTTCGTCTGGTTTCGCTTCTTCCGCCTTCTTTGTCTCCTCCTCAGTTGACTGCTTAGGCGACGCTGTAGCGACGGGTGCAGCCTCGACAACGGGGCTTTTGGGTGCAGCCTTCTCTTGCATGTATTCGTCAATCTTCTTAACGGCTTCGTCGTCAGGCTTGAGATCGTCAATCAGGACACTGTCCGTGTTGCAATTCGGACAGACAAAGTCCGACTCGATGAGAGCATTGGTAATGCAATCATTGCAATATGTCTTCTGGCAGCACGGCGTCTTCATTGGCTCTACAAACATCTTGTTGTCGATCGAGCATGCCAACCCCTTCTCCTGCAACTCCTTGTCACCCAGGGCGATAGCCTTGGCGGCTGATGCCGACGACTTGGCCTTGGCCTGGAACTGCTCCCAGCCGGCCTTGTCGGGCTCAGCCACGACAAAGTCTCCATCAGCGTTGACCATGATTCCCGAGGGTCTCTTCGCGTCATCATCACCATTCTGCGCCAGGGCAACCGACTTGTCGACGGTACGCAGAAACGATCGCGGGATGCCAGTAGTACGCTTGACACGGGGACGGTTGTCAAATTCAGGATCATCATTGGTAGGGCAAAGTTGGATCCAGTGACCTTTCTCTCCACACCGGTAGCAAATGTACCCGTTGGGGGGGTCGTGGTCAGGCACATTCGCAGGGCGCTTTGCTCCGCCTTTGACAAAGACAGGGGTCTGGCTACACCGTTGGTTAGATCGGGATAGACTATGGGCTGCAGAATGATGAACATACTGTGACATCTCTTCTTGTTGGGCCGACCACTGCTCGCTTTGTGCGGCGAACATGGCTGCCATCTTCTCCTCCTCCGTCATGGCGCTGTTCATCTGGCTGAAGGCATTGGAAGCCACCTTGGCTGTCGCTGATTTGACTACTTGCTCTTTGCGGGCAGAGTTCTTGGCCGACGCAGGCATCTTGCCGGAGACGTAACGAGCGCCGCGGCCTGCGCCAGGCTTGGTAGCTGGGAGTCTGCGAGCAACGACGGTGGTCGATCGCGGGATGATGGTCGTATCATCGTCGTATTCTTCGGCAGCAGGTTAGTACCACATCAAAGTCGCAAGTTCGAGAGACAAGATCTTACCTTCACTGTTGTCCTCTGTATATATAGCAAGATCAAAATCGGTACCATCACCGAGGCCGCTCTTGAGAATGATGTCGCGCTTCAACTCAAACACAGAGATACCAGTGCCATCAAACTCGACACGAGTCGGCTCTTTCTGCGACTTGAACTTGAAAAAAACGGAGGAAGCCATATCGATAGTCGGAGAAGGGGTACGTGTGTTCGCACTGCAGTCGAAGGGGGAGGTCTTCGGGCCAGGAAAAGACTATGCTGAGAAAAGCGTGTCTTGCGACTACTGTCTGTCCAGAAGCTAGGTTGACTGCTTTGATTGTCCTGTAGAGCTCGACGATCGCACGCGACTCCAGTTATTGTTTTTGTTCTTTGCTTTGATCTCTCGCGCTGCACCTTTCAAAGGAGGGAGAATCAATTCTGATTGTCTTGAAAAAAAAGGAACGAGCAAGATAGGGTCAGGTGCTGTACGAAGAAGAGAAAAAGAGTACAATGCCCGAGAGGCTGGCTGACACTAAGGTTGGCAGAAGGTAGCCCTTTGAGATCCTCCTCGCATTCCCAGTCACTACTATTCCTCGAGAACCATCAGCTGAACAGCCTGTGTACGCCCGGCAATCCTCTCGTTAGTATAATCGTCGCGAACCACAACCTTTGCGCCTGCGTGGGATGCTGTCAGCTTGTCGGAAGAGAGCAACAGCGCAATCGATCAGTCGTCGTGCGGAGGTGCTGTCTCTGGGAATGTCGTGCCGTAGTGAGATCGAGCAAATCTGCTCAAGACAAATACGGTCGTGACAAAGGTGGCCAGACGAAGCTCGTCGAATTCGGCGATAAGTAGGTGTCGTGGTTGTCGGTGGGAGATGAAGATGGAAAGAGCAAGAGAGGAGAAACGGGCTTGCGCAGGCAGAGATATGGCAAATGAGGAGAGAAGGGGAAGGAACCTGGCGGGCCTGACCCTTTGCCTTCTGACAGTTGGCCGGAAGGGGACCTCGGGTGGGGGCATGTTCCAGCCAGCGTATCTATCTACCAGGTACCCAGCACACACAGGCCGCCTCTGGTCTGGCCTCTCCTCTCCCTCTGAGTCACGTGGCGGCGGCGTCTGCAGAGTTCTGGCCGAGCTCTGGTCTCATGACTAATACGGATGCTCGCCGGCAGAAACGGCAGAGCAGAAGCTGCACATTTGCCCAGCAGGGTTGGTGTGCCGCTGGTTGCCGCCCGATGACCCCGCCAACTACCATCTCTTGCTTGCCCTTTCCTGCAAGAACCGCGACTGTGTGCTGAGGAAGGTGCTCCTTACGTATCTCACAGCTACTGCGCCTGCCCAATGAGCAGGTAGCTTTCAAGAAACGGCGTAATGCCCCGCATCCACGTCCCCCTCCTTCATGCTCGTCCTCTCTATCGACCTCGAACAATATTTACGAGCTCGATTCCCTTCTCCTCGCCAACTAGACAGCACCAACAACCTTTCGCCGCAGCTCGTTCCTACCTGACATCCTCCATAAAAACACACCAGGCTCGCAAGATGGCTCCTCAACTCGACGGCTTCTTCAAGCAGGTCGACACCGATGCTGACCACTTCATCGAACGTCTCCGCAAGGCCGTTGCCATCCCCTCCATCTCGGCGGAGCCTGAGCGCCGTCCTGATGTCGTCAAGATGGGTGAGTGGATGGCCAACGAGCTGAAGTCTCTTGGTGCTTCTGTCGAGCTCCGCGATCTTGGCGAGCAGCCAGGCAAGCCCGGTCTGCACCTCCCTCCCTGCGTCCTGGCCCGCTACGGAAACGACAAGAACAAGCGGACCATCCTCGTCTACGGACACTATGACGTCCAGCCTGCCGACAAGAGCGACGGCTGGGCGACCGAGCCCTTTGACCTTACCGTGGACGATAAGGGCAGGATGTTTGGCCGTGGCTCGACCGACGACAAGGGCCCGATCCTCGGCTGGCTCAACGCCATCGAGGCACACCAGAAGGCCGGCATTGACTTCCCCGTCAACCTGCTCATGTGCTTCGAGGGCATGGAGGAGTACGGTTCTGAGGGTCTAGATGACCTCATCGTGGCCGAGGCCAAGAAGTACTTTGCCGATGCTGACGCTGTCTGCATCTCGGACAACTACTGGCTGGGCACGGAGAAGCCCTGCCTGACGTACGGTCTCCGCGGCTGCAACTACTACTCCATCGAGGTGTCCGGTCCCGGTGCGGACCTTCACAGCGGTGTCTTTGGCGGCACTGCTCAGGAGCCCATGACGGACTTGACCCGTCTCCTCGGCTCTCTCGTCGACACGGACGGCAAGATCCAGATCCCCGGCATTGCGGAGCAGGTTGCGCCCGTCACCAAGGAGGAGGAGTCTCTCTACGACAACATCTCGTTCACGATGGACAACATCCACGAGTCCCTCGGCAGCAAGACGACCATTTTCGAGGACAAGAAGTCTACTCTGATGGGCCGCTGGCGCTACCCTTCTCTCTCCATCCACGGCATTGAGGGTGCGTTCTCCGCGCCTGGTGCCAAGACGGTCATCCCCGCCAAGGTCATTGGCAAGTTCTCGATCCGCACCGTGCCCAACATGGAGATTGAGAAGACCAACGAGGCCGTGTACAAGTATGTGAACGACCAGTTTGCCAAGCTCAAGAGCAAGAACACCATGAAGGTGTATGAGCAGCACTCAGGAAAGTGGTGGGTCGCGTCGCCCAAGCACTGGAACTTCTCCGCTGCTTCGAAGGCCGTTGAGCGCGTGTGGGGCGTCGAGCCCGACTTCACTCGCGAGGGTGGCAGGTATGTCGATGCCTCCCGTGATCTTCTGTTTCAGAGACTAACATGTTGTGACAGCATCCCCGTCACGCTCACCTTTGAGCAGGCCACCGGCAAGAACGTCCTGCTGCTCCCCATGGGCAGCTCGACGGACGGCGCGCACTCGATCAACGAGAAGCTGGACAAGCGCAACTACATTGAGGGCATCAAGCTACTGGGTGCCTACCTGCACTACGTTGCCGAGGAGCCCCAGCAGTAGGAGGTTGATGTGACGTGATGCTGTTCACTGATGATACCAAATAACGGACAGCAACTGTACATTACATTCAGCCACAATAGAACATTGGTTGAACTGCTCTTTTTCTGTCGGGTGGTGAAGTTGATGGTTTTTCTGCCGCGTTACATGATGACGACCAGGGCCGACGATGACATGTCGTGCTCTCTTGATGCGAATCCCCCGACAGTACGAACCCGGATGCATGAGATGATTCAATTATTATCGTAAACTGGCACGCGCCAGGCTGGCGTCGTGCCATCCCTAAAGCTATCCTAGAGGGGTATCAAAGGACGTCTGGGCCGTTCCTGGGGTCGTCACCTTGTGGTATTCCGTCATGTTATATCCCCTAGTGCCCGATTCGTAACCCCCAACGCCATGTGTGGAAAAGAAAATCCCCGAGAAAAAAAAAGAGCAGCTTATCACGCCCATCTCGTGCCTCCGTCGTCATTATCCGTCACGGAAACTCAAGGTGACAGGCTCACTTGCCAGCGGATGCCTTGCGGCCCCTCCTCTTAGCCACAACAACAGGATCCCACGTGCCGGCAAAGATATCCTCGCACTCGTCCTCATCATCCGAGTCGAAAACAACGTCATCCGGTGTCACGCCCTTCTTCTGCTCGTCGTCGTCGTCATTGTCGTCATCAGCACGCGTGGACCGAGGCCGGGACGCAGGCCCCTCAAGCACCCCGCCCCCGACGACAGCGTCGGCGTCGTCATGCACGTCCTCCCAGCGCTTGAAGCCGACGACGCGCTCCGTCTCGAGGATGAACTTGCCGACCTTGTACTTCTGCGCCTCCTCGCGGGCGTCGACGTATTTCCAGCCGAGCTTGGCGTGGCACACGGCGCAGGTGATGTCGGCGACGACGTGCCAGCCCGTGACGAGCTGGCGGTTCTCCGAGCGGCCGACACGGACGTTGAGGAGGTCGCGGACAGGGGTCGCAGCCGGCGGGGCGGAGCAGGACGGGGACGGGGCCGTGGGGCTCAGGGGCGCGACGAGGTAGGCGCGGCCGTAGCGGCCCGTGAAGCCCTTGCTGACGATCTGGGCGGCAAAGGCAATGTCGGAGGCGCAGGTGGAGCAGCGGAGGGTGTCGGGGTTTGTGCGGGAGAGGCGCCTCGCTGTGCTGCTGGCGGCGGTGCTGCCGATGATGGGGTTGCTGGGGCCGAAGCGCTCGGGCAGCGAGGATGGCGGCGAGCCGGCTGCTGAGCTTGGGGCGGAGGACGTTGGCGAGCTGCTGAGCGAGGGGATGTCGGAGGTGTTGGATGTGCTCGGCTGGCGAGGACGGCGGATAAAGGGCAGCTTGAACGCGGGAAGGAGATAGGAGGGGAACAGAGGTTTGAGGTCGGGCGATTTGGAGGAGGAGGGGGCCATGTTCTAGCAACGACGAGAAGAAGGGATGGGGATGAATGAATTACTTTTTACTACGGAGGTTTTTGGAGTCTTTCTTTCTTTCCTTCTTTCTTTCTTTGCTTCGCTCTGTGCTGGTGGCCCACAGCTGCTAGGCGTCACATAGCAAGGGTATCGAATGCGGTGCGGCGGCGGTGAGCATGGGGTGTGAAGGAGGAGAGACCGCCATGCCACTACAACCTGTCGGTCACCAGTCACGGGGGTGGTCACACTTGTTGGCAAGGCTAGAGGGATGTTAAACGATGGTTGGTTGTTTGGAGGGTGGCATAAGCCGGCCGCCGGTAGTGAGGACGCATCTGACGTGGTACGGTTTGAAGTACCGTCCAAGACCGAGCGAAACAGGGCCGGGCGACTGGCGACAGGCGGGAGGGAGAGACATGGGGCAGTGTGTCAGCGCCTGATCGACAGCCATCAGGTTGGGGTTGTCTTTACAGTAGTCACCCCGCATCCGCCGCATGCCGCTCGGTGCTCGAGCGCGCCGTGGTCTTGATGGTTCGGTGAAAGCCTCTGGTCTCACCGCTGCCTTGTCATGCCTGCCAGGGCTCTTGGCTGTTACTATTGGTGACTTGTCGTCAGACTGACTGCATCAAAGTGCATTGTTTTCATGTGTTGGATAAAATGATACGGGCGTTACCTACAGTGACATGCACAGGCATGAGGTGATGAGGGGTCGAGTCCGGGCACATGTCCAGAGTCAGTGAGTACAATCCCATGCTGAACAGACGCCAAGTCGAAAACGCCTTATCAATGGCTGATAACGTCAAACCAAGGAAGGTCATGGCCCATCTGCATCTGGCTCTGCGACGCATGATTCATGGGTCCTGGAGGGGAGGGGACGCAGCTGCACCTCGCCACTCGGCTTCCGTGCTGCCGCTATCGTGCATTCGGTGAAGCTCAACGTGACAGTATGGCTGCCCAATTACTGCAGGACGTGAAGGGTTGGTCCAACGACAAACAGTAGACGCCTATCAATCTGCCGGCCGGGTACTTACTTGTACCCACTAGACGTGACGCCGAGTTGACCGAAAAAGATGTAGAGCATGGATGGGTAGGTAGTGAGCAATTGGAGATCAAGAAAGCGTCTGCCAGCTGTGAGCTGCCAGATGCCAGGTGCACATACAATGACAGCCTCCGATACTGTCGGTTTCTCATATTGTCCAATCAGATGCTGCATGACATATCATTCAGGACCTCGGTCGAAAAGAGAAAGCGCCACCTGCTGGTGCATTACGGCGTCATGATGGTTTCTGCGAAGCTGGACCCCGTCGTTTGAATTGAAACTCTCCCGCATCACCACGCCCACCGCCATCCCTGGAAAAGGAAAACACGACAGAGAAAGAACACAGCACACAATGGCCTCACTCATGCGCAGTCTAGTCAGGCCCGTCTGTCGGCCGAGCCTCCTTCGGCCCATGGCTCCAGCCATCCTGCGCACCTTTGCCTCCAAACCCGACCCCATCCAGATCGACTCCCAGATCCAGCACGACCTTGAAGTCGGTGAGCTCCAGGGCGCCAAGTTTAAGATTGAGCCTCTGCGCCGCACGGGCGAGGATGCGACCACCATGCGAGCGCGGCTTCTCTGTACGTTCAATGCCTTTTCTCTTCCTCTCCCTCTCACAGACCAGCAAATGCTTACAGAGACGACCCCCCTTTCCAGACCAGTGCCGCAAGCGCGGAACCCTCGAGTCTGACCTGCTCCTCTCGACCTTTGCCGATACGCATCTACCGACCATGAGCCACGCCCAGATGCAGCAGTACGACCTCTTCCTCGACGAGAACGACTGGGACATCTACTACTGGGGCCACGCAGGACGAGTCGCCCGGTCCCGACACGACGCCCACAAAAGCTGCGCCCTTCGACGTCCACGAACAAGGAGAAGGACCTCGACAGCGCCACGGTCGCCGGCAGCGAGTCCTACAGCGGCGTCAACCCGGGTGCCGCCAAGACCATCGACGCCGGCACCAACGGCCACGCCGACACGCCCAAGCCCGCCGAGGACGTCCAGGTACGCGAGCAGGGCACAGGCGAGTGGGCGCAGACGGTGGGCACCTTCAAGCCCGCATACCGCCCCGTGCCGGCGCGCTGGAAGGGCAGCGAGATTCTCGACATGCTGCGGGCGCACGTCCGCGCGAGGCGGGCCGGCGGCAAGGGCATGGCTTTCATGCCGCCGCTGTTCAACGTCGAGGCCCGCAAGCCTTGATGAGATGTCTACGTACGGATCTGTTTCTGCAGAGGGACATGGCATCTGCGTTGTGTACGAGGCTTTGGAGCATTGGCTGTTCATTTTATTATTAGATAGAGAGAGAGAGAGAGAGAGCAGAGTCCCATATTGGTGGGACTACCAAGGCAAACGAAAAAGTTGCCGTTGTACAATCTGGTATACTAGACGGTAATGATCAGGGACGTCTCCACGAGCAAGGATGGGCAACGGATGACAATGCGCTCGGAGGCGGCAGCGAATGGGAGAATAGGAGCCAAGATTTTGATGCCTTGCGTTTCAGTCACAGTGGTGTGTTCTGAATCATTGAGCCGTGACAATTACCTACATACATACGTACTTAATAAGTAACTAGGTACGTAACGACACCCAAGGTCAGGATGACGGACAGCCTTTGTTCATACTCGGGCCAACCCGATTCTGTGCCACCTCCTCCACAGCCAGAACCTGCGAGAGGGCGGCAGAGAGGGAGCGAAACCCGAGGATTCATGGTAGCCTACTTACCTCACGCTCAGGTGGTCTGTCCCTGATCCGGAGTCCGACTGTCCGACTGTCCGTCCCAGGCTTCCCGGTTGGCAGATGAATACCTGAATGCCTTGGCTTGGCACGGCTCGGTAGCATGTCAGGCAGGTTGGGGGGCTCTAGGTGGCACATTGAACGCTATGCACAGTCGTCAGGCCTGACCACAGGGGTCCTTCAGTGGCCACACCGACACCGACACTGACACTGACCGCAACCCCGCAGTGCCGTAGCGGGGTGGAGACAGGTCAGCTGCATGCACCTTGGCACCGTGGTTCTGGCAGCCTAACCTGATCCGTCCCATGGTGTAACGCCGCCGGTCCACCCTTTCTGAACACCTTTTTCCTCTATTTGTGTCCCCTCTCCGCCGTCCGCCCGCCCGTCCACCTCTCTGTCTCCTCACCTCGTCCAGATCCGCCAACACTCTAAACGTTTCGCCGCCCGCCAGCCCACACGCTCCTCGCCCTCTCTCTGTTTGATCTCATCAACAGACGCAACTGCCCCCAAGTCAATTGCAATCAACCACCAAACCTCACTTCGCCAGCTCTTTCCGCCGTCCTTCGGGAACCCTCTCGCCTACACCCAACCCACCAGACCAATTTTTAAGAACTTGACCCCCCAGGAAACCCCACCGCCAAAATGTCGCCCATGAAAAACAACAATAATCAATCCAGTAGTAATCATGGCGAGGTCGTTGTCCGTCAGGCCAACGTCCTTGCCAGCTGCTACATTGTCGACACCGCCGGCCTCCTCAAGGGCCTCCACTACTGCACTACCGGGGCTACCGGGGCAGAGTGGTATTCCTGAGGTCCCCTCCTCAGGAATACCATCCCCGCCCTCAAGCCCCCCCCTCGCCGCCATCACGGCCTCGAACGAGCTGGCCCTGCTGCCCAAGACCAGGAAGCGCGGCAGCGCCAGCAGCAGCAGCAGCAGCAAGAGGTCCCGACGAGGGGGGGCAGCACTTTCAATCAGGGAAGAATGTGAGAGATTCTTTTGCGAGCGCATGTCGGCCGTGTTCCAGGGTGAGCGGAACCCGGATTCGAAAGCCTCGGGCCTGATGGGGGTTCACGCGCTGCTACCGACGCCGCCCAACGACAACCCGGACGCCAGCTACTTTGGCGGCAGGGACGCCTTCGCCGCCGCCAAAGCACACTCCGGGGGTCCCAGCGCCACGAACGACGTTTGCCGGTTCCCGGCACGGTCGTCACGGCCTGGCTCGAAGATCTTGGGGACTTTTGCCGGGCGGCGTCCAGCTTTCCGCGCCTTTTGTGGGGAGACGACCGGCCTTGAAAAGGGCCCCTGTTCGTCTTCTTCGATGGCAACGTTGTCGGTGTCGACTTGAAGAAAGCGTACGTTTCCCATCCCCTTGTTTCCTAGGCCATGCGGTCGATCCGCCTTGGACCGTATTTCCCCCGACATCAATCCAGAAAGCATGGCTAACACCCTGTTCCCAGTCTCATGGCTCTCATCGAGTTGGCCGACACGCCGCTCGAATGCCAGCACCTGGTGGTCTGCCTCGACCGCCGCATCGAAGAGCGCGATGCCAAGAGTCTCATGAAGAGCCTCCAGTGGGTCGGCTTCGAGCTCACAACGCTCGACAACTGGGCCAAGGACCTCGACGTCACGAGCAAGGAATGGCTCTTCATGGCCATGGAGCTGTAGAGTTCTCACTCTTCATTCCTCCCTCTTCCCATGTGGGCGTTTCTGCCCCTGACGTCCCACGTCTTGAACGGCCTCTATCCTCCTCCTCACCTCCTCCTCCTCGACCCGTCTTCTTCACCTCCTCCCCCATCTTGCTTCTCCCCATCCCCATCCCCCTTTCTCATCATTTTAGTTTCGAAAGCTCCCGTCTTCAGGCCTCGCAGATGTTTCGCAAGAGCCCATCATCCACAGCAGACTTGTTCGCAACAACAGAATTGTTCTTGACTGCTTTGGGTATGCTCTCCCCGGCTGTGATCGGAAGGCGTTTTCACACACTGGTACCTCGTTTCGTTTTCATCGTTTGAGGAGTTGATGTGCTCAGTTTACGTATACGGACTTTTGTCCTCTCTTTCAACGGCGTTACAGTCTGCAATGGAGTAGGATCTCACTGAACGTGGGGAACTGCCTTGTTTATTTCCCCATCAATTTCACGAAAGAATGTTTCTTGTCATGCATGTTCTGTCCTTGTCGCGACGGGACACGTCTCCATGTCATATAACTCCTGGCTAAATCAAAGTGAAAAGAAAAACTATCCATCCATAATCCATACCGCCATGATCTTGAACTCTATTTTATGAACCCCCCTTTTCCCACGCAGGGAGATGGGCCTCGCATCCCACCCACTCTACAGATCGCCTTCAAACTGGCGCACCTTGAGCCCCTTGTCGGCGAGGAAGTCCTTGACCTGCTTCACCGTGTACTCCTCGCGGTGGAAGATGCCGGCGCCCAGCGGGGGGCCGGGTGCGCGTCTTCTCAAAGACCTCTTCAAAGTGCATGGGGTGGCCGGCCCCGTTCGAGCGATGACGGAAATGCGCACGCGTCTTTGACCTGGGCAAATGAGCTCAAGCTCAAAGCCCGAGTTGGTGCCGTCGCGGTCGATGCAGTTGAGCAGCAAG